AACACAGGAATGGCAATCTGGGAATGAAAATCCAGGAATGACAATGTGGGAATGACAATCCTGGGAATGACAATCCAGGAATGACAATGTGGGAATGACAATCCTGGGAATGACAATCCAGGAATGACAATCCTGGGAATGACAATCCAGGAATGAAAATCTGGGAATGACAATCCTGGAAATGGCAAGCCAGGAATGACAATCCAGGAATGACAATCCTGAGAATGACAATCTGAGAATGAAAATCCAGGAATAACAACCTGGGAATGGCAAACCAGGAATGACATCCTAGGAATGACAATCTGGGAATGACAATCCTGAGAATGACAATCCCAAAATGGCAATCCAGCAACAACAATCCTGGGAATGACAATCCAGCAGTGACAATCCAGGAATGACCATCCCAGAATGGCAATCTGGGAATGACAATCCAGGAATGACAATCTAGGGAATGACAATCTGGGAATGACAATCCAGGAATGACAATCCCAGAATGACAATCAGGGTATGACAATCTGGGAATGGCAATCCAGGTATGACAATCCCAGAATGACAATCTGGGAATGGCAGCAGGGAGGCAGGCAGGGAGCCCTGCAGTGCTGGCAGGCTGCTCTGCTGATCCCAGCGCCTGGAACGCTCAGGGATGCTGGATTTTCTCTGCACATTTTCACCCTTTAAAGCAAACACTCCCGGATGGGATGCTGGATTCTCTCTGCACATTTTCACCCTTTAAAGCAAACACTCCCGGATTTATCTCCTCCAGATCACACCCAGCCTCCAAAGGCAGCAGGAGCAGCTCTGGGAGGAGCTGCCACGGGCACAGAGCAGCCCCAGGAACCTCCCAGACCCCTCATCCTAAAAAATAAAACGTTCCTAAATATTGCTGCCCAGGCAGAGCCCAGACCAATCCGCATTTCAGCATCCTGGATCCCAGGAATGTCCCAGCCTGGGCCCAGCACTGGAGCTGCTTCCACCTGAGGATGCTGCAGAGCAGATCCAGCCTGGCCTTGCTCCTCGGGGCAGGATCCAGCTGGGATTGGGGTGTCTGGATTGTTCCTGAGTGCTGAGCCAGGCTTTGCTGGGAGCTGCAGGCCCAAGGAATTGGGTGCAAAGGGTTAAATTTCTGTCTGGCACCAGAGACATTTCAGCAAAGAAAAAAAAGCCAAAAAACCCAAAAAAACCCAAAAAACCCAAAACCAAAACCAAAACCAAACCAAACCAAACCAAAAAACCCAAACAACAACAACAAAAAAACCAAAAAAAACCCCAAAAAACAACAACAAAAAAACAAAAAAAACAAAAAAAAACAAACAAAAAAAACCAAAAAACAAACAAACAAACAAACAAAAAACAACAAAAAAAAAAATACCCCCTATTAAATATCTATATTTTATATGGTTCTAAGGGCCCCTGCGGGTCAGTGAGGGTGAAGTCCAGGATTGCTGGGTCTGAATTTGCTCCCAAATTGCAGCAGAAAGGCCAGAGCAGGAGCACACCCCCAGCCTGAGCTGCTCCAGGGTTTTGGAACCAGCTGGGGGTTACCTGGAGCCCTGGGGCTGCTCAGGGTGTGGAATCGATCCCTGTGAGGAATCCTGGTCCCCTCCATGTGGCAGCGGGG